AACAGAATGTTTCGCCGGAAAACTCGACTTCGAACTGGGATTACCGTCTGGCGATTTTTCAGCGATATTTATACAACAAAACCTTTCATTCTCTCGATTACCAGACCAAAAGTAAACGCGGAAGGTTCTTTTCTTTTCTCTTGGAAGTTGACACTCATCCCCACTTTTTCAGCTATTGAAAAGCATCTTTTTTTTTTATGGGTGAATTATTTATCGATGTCAATCTTTTATTTAGAAGCCAAAAAATTTGAGATCATTAAAAAAAAATTCCTCATGTGAATCAATTTTTTTCTTCTGCAAATTTTCGAACGGGAGGCAGGCATTAAAACCACCCATATTCTCATCAGCTTAGTAGCCACATTCAGCCCTCAAAATGCCAGACAAAAAAAAATGACTCAACTAAACAGGCCCTATCTCACAGTCTATATTTGTGAGGGGTAAATCTGTTAAGTAATCACACTTTTTCGACATTTTTACAACATTAAAACAAAAAACAAAATATTTCTAGTTTCTGCCCGACTAATAGGTTATGTAGGTATCAATAGTCAACAAATATTTTATTAAATAATCAATGTCAAACTTGCAAACAAAGCTGAAGCAAAATAACTTACGCATCAAAAACACCTATTCAAAATAAACTTGCTTGCCGCCACGCCATATTGAATTTTGTGCCTGACAGATGGTTTGAATCAATGAACTATAGCTAAAAACTGGAATGCGCACACATTGCCATATCTGCCAAAAAAATGTAGCCATGAAAGATAGATGCCACAAAGGGGAATGTTGTTTTTTTCTGTTGCTTGCTGACATATGACGTTTTCGAAAGTTTTGTCATATTTCCCTTCACAGGTTTCATCAATTGGAATACGTGTTGGAAGCAATTTTTGCCATTTAACATAATGAGTGCGACAAAAACAGGTATCCCCTCCGCAGCAGCCGCACTAGGCTTCAAGTTCGTCCTTATGTGTTAGCATTCCAGTTTTTGGTTATAGTATAGTTCATTGGTTTGAATCCACTGATAACGTTATGACGTCATCTGGGGTGCTTAAACATATTGCAAATCTCCATAAGGCATGCACCCCAGATGCGTCATCAAGTTACCCATTACCAGGATAACCTATGAACTCAGGGGCCTTATTCTGTAAGGAACGAACCGTTCGATTCGGTAGAATTTTTTCGATTGTGACGTCATTTTCGGTTTGGTAGAGCGAAAACCTATCCAAAAATGACGTCACAATCGAGGAAATTCTACCGAATCGAACGATTCGTTCTTTACAGAATGAGGCCCCAGGGCCGGTTTCTCAATAGCGAGTCACCTCCGGGTAGGTTTAAACTCCAGACTCTAATAAGGTTATGCTTATTAACCATGGTTGACTTGTTATTGAGAAACCGGCACTTAGGAACCTTGGTTGGCATAGTTCATTGGTTGGCATTGCTTAATAGGGCAATCCAAACAAAATGGCGGTCAATGCATGGTCAATGCCAAAAAATTGGCGCCATAAATTTAATTCAAACAACCGTGACATTTTTCATCAAAAAACTGTTTTTTGTGTATTTTGTGGTATTTTTAGATAATTTTCTAGTGTTTGGAAGGATAATTTTCGTATTTTAAGATGGAAAGTTTTTAGTTTAAGAAATTATTAGTGGAAAACTCGGATGTTTGCAAAAGTTATAATTTCTTTGTAGGCATTCCAAAGACCTGTCAAAAAGTGCGTTGTGGCGGAAGTTCATTATCCCGTATTTGAGAGTATGTAATTTAAAGCTTTTTAAAGCGCATTTTGTGGTTGTTTTGTGAATGAACTCTGTTTATTTTTTTGTTTTATTGACTTCATTAGTGTTTTTTCCAATTAAAAATACCACAAACGGGTCTTGAAGTTGATTGTGGAAGTAGTTTCAACAAGGTAACAAGGATGATGTCAGGCTTTTTTCATTGCCCTTTGTTTTAAAATTTTCCAATTAAAACGTGAAAATTTTTCACTACCACTGTTCCTGCATCTGAAATAAAGCCATTTTCGAAATATTCGTAAGAATCTAAGCTTTTTTAGGCCTTCATTTGCTCATTAATGTGAACTGTGGATCAAAATGTCATCTGGACATTTTTTTAAAATAACCGTTCGCCCAGATCCCGATTTTCCTGCATTCAAGTCTTTAAATATTCACTCTGCATCTCAAAAAGTATATTGTAACAAAGTAAACTGTAATTAGCTTGAAAATATTCCAAATAAACTCAAGATAAACAAACAAACGTCAAATTTTCCACGGTCGCCATATTGAAAAGTCACGTGGTTTGGAGAGCCTAATTAGGTAGACATAAAAAAAAGTGAAATTAATTAAACAGTGTATGCACGTGATCAAAATTTATGACATAAGCACGTCGCAATGTTGCCGCTATTAACTTTCGTTTTACTTTGACATACCATGTCTAGTAAAATTTGTTATCACAAGCAAACAAACATCGATTTTCATATGTTTAGATAGTGTATTATGAACACAATATAAAAAACTACTCACTCAATAGAGCTAACATCAAGGTGATTTTGATTCGTAACCCGCTTCTTATGTGGACGTTTTTTCTTTGGTGCATTTTACACTACATTATCCTTAACTTTTTGAGAGATTTTACTCACAGTGGTTATATCAATATAGAATGCAGCTGCAACACACTGGAAAAATATTCCCAATCAAAGCCCAAGATTTATATTTAATATCAATACTTCACCTCTCTAACGCTATTTAATGGCAAAAAAAGGCCCCCATTGTCACGTTCCTGTTCAAAGAAACTAATTAGAGACGCAACGAGCTTCTGACTCTGACTATGCAATTGCTGTGGCATTTTATTGCGATGAAAATCACAGACAGAAATAATTTCAAATTATTAAAATCAGTAACCCCAGATTTGCAGCAATATTTGGCAACGTAACCCACGAGTGACAACCTAAATGCCATTTCATCGGACGATTCGGTTAAATGCCAACAGTGTTCTGTCTTTTTTCAACTAAGGTTAAATAAAAAGGAAAATGAGCTCTCAGCTTGAAACGAATTTTAATTTCTTACAAACTGCAATTGGCAATAATTTCGACGTCATTGATCACGTGCATACACTATTTAAATAATTTCACTATATTATCCAGGATTTGTTTCCTGTTTAGTTTTTTCTTAGCCAAATCCTAAATCCTGATGTTTATTTTATTTGTCTGCTATTCAAGGTATCGACACAAGCTGATGTGGAGGATAGTAAATGGCTTGGATCCATAAATATGGAGAGACTTTTTGTAGAGTACATGTAGAGAGACTTTTTTTTTTTAATATGGATTTCGTTTTCTCTTTTGCTACAATCCATGAAGCCCTCACAAAGTACAGACAAATCATTTTTCTCCGTTAAAAACCTGTGTTTTGTCTCTGCAGGAATGGCATGAAACTACTTTCTCGCGATTAGAACGGTTCCAACAACTAAGTACAATACATAACGTATGCATTTTCTACAAAATCAACACTTTACAGACTTTATAAAGCGTGTTTTTTTTTTTAAAGATAAAAGTCAAAATGACATTATATTGGTAATACAATGTAAAATTGTCAATGTTTTCAAATTTTTTATGTGGAAAAGGCTTGTGTTGCCAACATAGTTACTAAATTTTTGACTTGGGGAATTATCTTTAAAAAAAAAACAGACTTTACAAATCAAAAATCGCAATAAAACGGCATTTTTTTAAAATAAAAAGGCATTAGCCTCCATTCTGAATTTCATTTTGGCAGGTCGTTGGATTGCCCTATAAGGCCGGATTTTCATGCATAAGTTTTCCGACGAAATAAGTCCGAAAAATCTTCTATTTTGACATATTTTTATACGATTATGTCAGAATAGAATGTAAAAACATTCTATTCTCCGAAAACGGACATCTTTCGTCGGAAAAACGGATGCATGAAACTCCAGCTTAAAGCAAAAGCCCGTGGAATCATAACCTGTGGTGCAAACTGCCTAAGGGCGGGTATTATAAAACTGCTTTGACAGTTAACTTAAAGTTAACTTTTTGAATTACATGTAATTCCAGAAGTTAACTTTAAGTTAACTCTCAGAGTAGTTTTATAATACCCGCCCTAAGTCAAGGCGAGAAACGATATGATGCCTATGTCACAACTGGTGATTTGGCGAGGTGGGGGGGCTTCAGGTTTGTTTTACACAGGCCTTATGAGGAGAGGTTATCCTGTTACGCGCTTATTCGTTTCGAAAAGTGTTTGTTGCACCATGCACCTCTTCCGTTCAAATCGGGGGCGACTAACTTGAGTGTTTTAAACTCTTGAAAGGATTACTAGAGTCCGCGTCAAGAGTAAAGAGTACGGTGACGTCAAATGCGAATAAACTCAATTTTGAAGACTAACCGAACTATCGTATTGTTCGGTGCTGCTGCCGAACGTCAAGCCCATGCGGTTCATTCTCGTACGGCCAGCAGGCTATTTATTTAGTTTATTTTCTATCCAAGTTTTGTTTTAAAAGATATCCCGCTGCTGGTTTCAGCTCACGGCCGACGTCACGACAGACAGCGAGAGATAGACGAGGGAGAGAGATCCGACACGCTTTGTGCAGCTTTCCGTGTCGTCAACTCGTCACCGTAGTCTTTACTGCTGACGCGGACTCTACTCCCGAGGATAACCTCTTTAGCTGAGTTCGGAATGGGATTTTAGTGCGGTGCTGGTGCTAGTGCGGTGTTCGTGTAGAGCAGTGGTATATCACGTGATGAAGGTGTAATCGGCGGTGTAACACCGAATACACCATCATTTTCTACCGAGTAAACGGTGTCCCATCATCTTCACACCATTCGGACACTAAATTATTTCCAAACGCAAATAAAGTGTACACCAAACTTACTCCTACCAATTAACGAACGCCACAGTGTCAATACTGTCGACATCTTCCACCATTCCGAACTCATCTTTTCAAACAACCTTGGACCTAGAACAAAACGTTGTGACTAACTTCACTCGTGTTTATTCTATGGTGTTATCACGTCATAAAAGGCAAATCACCTAACCTAAAAAAAACTCGTATTTTTATTTTAATTTTTAAATTTTAAACTAATAAATTTTTAAAGTTTCTGAATAAACCATGGCCTCGAAAACCAAAATACTAAACCTTTACAAAGCCCTTTTAAGAGAATCACAAAAGTTCAGCACTTATAATTTTCGGTATGTGTTAATTCAGAAATAATTCAAAACTTTATTAAAATATTGTGTAATATTCTAGTTCATATGCTGTGCGTAGAATACGGGATGCATTTAGGGATAATAGAAACATAACCGACTCGGAATTAATAAATAATAGAATATCGGAAGCACGCAAGAATTTAGATTTAATTAAAAGACAGGTGAGAATCGTAATTACAATAATTGAGTAACAAACTTATTTATTTCATATCCAATATTCCAAGAGGGTTCAATTTTATGTTCTTTATTTATTTCAGGCCCTGGTTAGCCAAATGTACCAAACCGATAAGCTAGTCATAGAAAGAATTCCTAGAACCTAGGTAGAAGTAAATTTAGGTACCCTTATGTAGTTATAAATATAAAAGAATACTCTCAGATACATTGCCTTTATGCTGCATTATTATTTAGGTATAAAAATTTGATTATTTCTTTCAAATAAATGTTTGATTGTTTAGAAAGGAAAGTGTATTTATTCTCAAAATTTATTTACAAAACTTTTCATTTCTTTTCTATCCACTTGACAATGCCTTTCCCTAAAATATAAAAGTCCTCTATAATTGCATCTTCGTTCAATTCCAATTTACTGTTCACCAGTTTTTTGCCATTTATGTGAGCAACCTAAAACACAAAATTAACACATAATAGCTAATCATTATATGTATTTTAAAAAATTACTTTAAATTCTTTCACTTCTTTAGCTTTAGGATTCCACAATACTCCCACAGTACTACCGCCATAAGTGTCATGGAAAAACATGGCAAATTCCCCGTAACTTTCTCTCAAAGCCTTCAAATATGAATGTACAGGGTTGAATCCAGCAATGGGGATTTTCTCGTTTTTATGCTGCTCGTATTTTTCCAGGACAATTTTACTATCTGCAGGATTATCAATTTGCTCATGTCGTCTGGGATTTAATAATGGCCTCAAATGGATTAGGAGATTGTAACCTTCCATGTTGGGTTTGAAAAGTTCCTAAAAAAAAATTGATTTGAGAATTGTCATAAAAGTGGCTACATGTCGGCATATGCACATTTTATGTGAAATCAACATGTTGAAATCAGATACTCGTAACCTTCTCCTAGAGATATGTAACTCATATTTCAGCCGATAAAAACTTAAATATCTCTCATAATGTATTATTCCTTTGAATGTTTGCCAAATCAGCTTGAGATTTTGGTATAAAATACTCCTTCTTTTATAGACTCAAAAAGTTTTATTTAAATTTTTATTGTAATTGGATTTTGATATTTGCCAAGGTTGATTTTTGGAGCTTGTTACAAATTAAAACATTTTAGGTGTTTGCAAGTTGCAACACTGTACTCTCCTGATAAAAACTGACAGAAACCTACCTTCAAGTCAAACACAAGTTGCTCCTCAATTCTACCAAGCACTAGTTTCAAAGTGGCATGTGCAAGACCTTGCACCCTATGTAAAGTTTCTTTCGAAGGGCTATGTTTGGTAAAAATCGATTGCCCTTGATCGTAAGGCATAATAATGTATAATGGCTGAACGGCAGCACGATTTTGCTGAAATTTTGATTCCAAATCCGCAATATCTTCCTCTAAAAAAGACAATCATTCAATATAAATATTTAAACTCAAAAATACCCTTACTAGTTATTTCTTCATTAAAATTCACCAACACTGGTTGCAATTCCCATTGAAACTCGGCAATAAATTTCAAAAATCTCAAAAATGCAATTTGTGGAGTACAAGACTCTTGGAAACTAGTTAAATTTACGTAAAGGGCAGCATTGAGTAAATTTATCACGATATCTGGCATATGGAAGTCGTCAATTAAGTGACTACGTAACCAGCGTTTGATTAGGGCTGTGCCAGGACCGAAGCTTGGAAATTGTAGCTGGATTCTAAAGAAAAAGTAAATAATTATTATGAATTATTTTATAATAATTGTAGAAAATAATAAATAAAAAAATGACTTAATTCAATGGGGAAACTTGTATATGTTTGGAAATTCAGTTTTATAAAACTAGGCTTCTATCACTTTCCCGCAATATCAAGAAAACTTACCCTTTCAGAGTGGCATTAACTTTAGGTAAAATACCTAACGATTTCTCCAATTGTTCACTTTTGGCATTTTCAGTATATTTCAATTCCCCTGTCTCTGTTATGGCCTTTTTCAGTAGGCCTATTTCTTTGGGAACAAAGAGTCGATACCTAGAATGTAATTTATATTTGAATGGATATCGAATGAAATTTTGTACAAACCTAAAAACTAGTCCCTCGTAGAATACTTCCAAGTACTCTCTTGTGACATGACTGATAATATTATGATTATCCTGAAGCATTTTGGAAATTTCTAAGTAAAATGATGTTTTTACGTGCTGGATAGCTTCTAGATTATTTGGCCATTTTGAACTGTGTTCTAAAATCCAAACAAATTGTAAAGCATTTGACATCACATGCATTAGTGATTTTTGTTGTGGAAACATTCCTTACCTAATTGCAATACTAATTCCAATGGCTCAATCAATCTCGGAATCATACCAATTTTTTTATTGGGAAAAATCACATTTTTCCCTTTTATTTCTGCATTGTCTGCCTGTCTGAATTTAGCAGCTATCGGAGGAAATACTTCACTGTAACTGAAAGCATCTGATAGTCCTTGTATTCCGGTTATACTCAAACTCATTTGCACGCTTCTCAATTTCTGACCCAGTTCGTCAGCAAACTTAATGATTTTCAAACAGCTCTCCTCGTTGGTACCAACTGGATAGGGACTAGTCACTTTTTTGTTAAGTAAGAACTCCTCGAACTCATCATAGTAAAGTTTAAACTTGATGTCAAGTTTTTCGATAAGCAAATATTTTATTATTCGCTTTATAATGCCACGTTTGCCTCTAATTGTACTTGTTTTGAAATAAACTGCTACATGTGTACTACCATCTCGGAACCTATTTGATAAAATCAAAAATTTAATAAAATATATATATACAAACATTTTCAAATTCTTACCTTCTGTCACTAGCCAAATATCCCCAAAACTTCCTGAACTCGTCAGCTTTGGTGTAATCATTTAGAACGGGCCCCATTTCAATAAAATTGAAAGCAGTTTCAGGATTCAGATTAATACCAAATATGACTTTGGTTAAAGGTGATTCTTTATATTTCACTTCAATATGAGGTACAATATTCAAAGCCCTTTTGCCAAGGCCTTTATGTAACAGGTCAGAAATTTGAGTGATGGTTAAAAATTGTCCATATCCAATGTTTTTGGATTTTTCCACATCGGTTGATATAAATTGGTCTTTCAATGGCAAAGCATCTGTAAGACTATTAGAAAAAATAAATGCTTTGAAGACATAATATATAAAATTTGGTGATATTTAGCACTTAATCTACGAGAGTCAAATAGATTTATGGAAAACATGTTTTTATGTGGTAAAGCACTTACTCGATTAATAAATCATATTGCAATCCAAAAGGCACCTTGGTCAGAAACAATGAATGAAAAGATTCCATCCTACTATCGTCCAAATGTCTCATAGCCATCTCACACTCTTGCTTCACTCTCCTAAACACGTTTTTATCCAAAAAAGTTGCCAAGTTGTAACACCCAGTCCTATCCAAAAACACTATGTCAAAATGTTGCTTAAACATTGCCAAATTATTCTCAGAACTGTCTCCTAAGCTTATAGGACATTTTTCCAGATCTGTTGTAGCCAAAAAGCTCCAAAAATTCCTAACAATTTGATAGGAGCTCATTAATTTATTCAATTTCTTTTTGGCTAATAAATATGTAACAAAATACATAATTAAGTTACTAGTAAAAGCTCCATAACCAACATCTAAATTTCGCTGCTTCAGCCAAATACATAAAAGTTTAATGCCTTCTTGTACATTCTCATGTTCGTGTAAAGTAGTGGCTACAAAAGCTGAATTTTCTCTAAGCGTTACATCATGTGCTAAAGTGGCATTGTATAATATTGTTGGAGTGGCTCTGAGGATTTCTATATCATTAATGTTTGCTTCAAAAAGATCTTGTTTGATATTGTTTTGACTAGGTAAGAATCTGGAAGGTTTGAAATAATCCTCAACAGGCGTGGCATGGATTTTTATAATTAATTTTTCATCTTTAGTCGGTTGTATGAGCAATATTGGCAAAAGGATGTTGTTCTCATGATAAATAATAGTTTTTTTGTGAACATCAGTTAAATTTTCAGCAATATATGCTAAATAATAGAATCTCTTAACTATGTATCGGTTATTTAAAAAGTCTTTTACATGAAAACATGATTTAGGCATTGTTATGTTTATTGAAGTTTCTAAATTTGGTCCTGCCAAAGCATTGTTTTCATACAAACCAAAAACTTCGATATTTTCAGGCTTTAGAAAATTCAATTTCAAATCCTGGTCACTTTTAAAGTGGCACTGATAATTAGTGACTAAATTGTTTATGAATTTGTCCTTTTTGGTAGATTTTTTCGTCTTTGATACAATTTTTATATCAGACAAAGAAATATCATCAAATTCAGGCAAGTTTTCAATATTGGTTTTAAAATTTTCCAGCCAGGAACTTAGAGCTTTTTTCCTCTTGGTTTTAATGGCCACTTCTTTAACTAATTCTTCAATTTGTAGCCTAAATAAATTATTGTTATAAAGGTTTTCGGTCATTTTTAAATTATTCAACTCCTCGATGGTAGGAGGTTTGTAAAGTTCATTTTTCTTTTTGCTTTTTTTAGGGTCTTCAGTGGATATTGGTTCAAGTTTGACTTTTTTGGATTTCTGTGATATTTCTTTGTGTTTCCGTTTGTTAGGATTTTCAACCGGTGTTTTGGATATGTCTGATGCTTCATTTTCTGACTCGTTTTCATCATGATCGGTGATGTCCTACAAAAAAAAAGCTAATTCTGAAAACTGAATTGAGCAGCACCCAGAAAAAAATTACATTATTTAAAATAAAATCTCATTATACAAAAGGGTCCTCATTAGACTACTCATACATTTTTAAAATAGGTAGCTTGATAGGTAGTTAAATGAATATTTATTAGTGATACTGATGCTCATCGCTTATTTAACATAAGTGCTTTTTACCTGATCCTGATACACCTGTTAATTGAAGTAACACAAAAAAGGATTACTTAAATTGGGATTTTTATGGTGAACTAAGCATTGGTTTCACCTGGAGAAGACTGAATCACAAAGAAAGGCGTAATATTAATGATGGTCATCATAGGAGAAAAATAGTTAATTTGGCAAATAACATATTGACAAATGGTACATTTCCGGAAGAACTAAGTTGCAAAGCACCAGTATACAATGCAAAAGGTTCGCATACAGATCAATCTTTGTATTGAAGAAATTCTCAAAAATAGTAGAAAAAATCGTGACAAAAGACTTGTGCAACATATCAAATCAAATCAAAATAAACTTTATTGTCAGAAAAACCAAAGAGAAAAAAGTTTTATTGACAAAGCAAATACTTAAAGCTAGATTATGTCTAGGATTACAATAATTTTCAATAATGAACACGACACAAGCATAAATAAAATGTAAAAAAAAATTAACAAACAAATAATGAAAACAAACGCTGAAAAATTAGAATCTGTCCCTAAAATCCAATGACGTATAGGCAAACATTTCGAAACATTAAACAAAATGAAAATAAAATAAAATCAAAATAAAATCAAAATAAAATCAAAATAAAATAAAATCAAAATAAAATAAAATCAAAATAACATCAAAATAAAATCAAAATAAAAAAATAAAAATAAAAATAAAATAAAAATAAAAATAAAAATATAATAAAATAAAATAAAATAAAATAAAAAAAAATAAAATAAAAACTAGCAGGCACCGATTGACACAAGTTAAAACAATAGACACATTCAATTTTCATAAAATTCGCCAATACTATAGTATGCCTTGGCGACTAGATGGTTCTTTACAAGCTTTCTAAAATTTTACCACCACCAAAAGTACCACTATTCTTAATTTCCTCAGGCAGATGGTTGAACATTTTAATACTCTCATAGATAATGGAGTGTTTTGTTAAGGCGTACTTTGGTATTGGTAAGGGTAATTTGACTTGACGCAGATTATAATTGCTATTCTGTACAAAACCAGAGAACTTCTTATAAATCAAACTCACAGATTCCAAAACAAAAATACAAGGCACTGTCAATATCCCCTCCCGCCTAAATAATGGTCGACACGATTCCCTGCATCTCCTACCACACAAGTAGCGGACAGCTCTTTTTTGCAAAACAAACACCGATTGAACTGATCTCTGAGTTGCAAACCCCCAGAAAGCAATGCCATAGCGTATAATATGTGACTCTAGCAGCGAGAAGTATACAATTTTCGCCGCGTCCTTACCAAGCTCCTGAAAAATAGCTCTGACAATGTAACAGCCTGTAGCTAGCTTTTTGGTTAGAGTATCAATGTGTGTTTAAAATTTCAGTTGCGAGTCTATATGCAACCCTAAAAACTTTATAGTTGATTTGCTTTCCAGAGGCCTTCCTTGAAGTTTGACATTATCCAGGGCACACTTAAACATAAGTACATTTGTTTTTTCCACATTAAAACACAGTTTGTTTGAGTCGCACCAGGCTTTTATTACCAAAAGATCTTGCTCAATGGTTGCTTTAAGCTGATCCAAATCTGGAGTTTTTTTCGGTCCATAAACAATTTGCGTCATCAGCAAAGGCAGTGAGTTTAGCCGAGATCGGTAACGAAAGCAAATCATTAACATAAACAAGAAACAAAATTGGCCCCAGTACCGAACCCTGTGGGACCCCATGCTCAACCTCCATTTTCGCCGAATCGGCACCATTCAGACGTACAAACTGGGACCTCCCCGAAAGCATTGAACCGAACCAATCCAAAGAAGTATTCCGGATGCCACAATGAAACAGTTTTCGCAGCAGTATTCTGTGGTTCACGCAGTCAAAAGCCTGTGAGAAGTCACAGAATACCGCTGCAGCAACCTCGGATTCATTCAGACAAAGGTACAACTCCTCAAGAAATGAAAATATGGCGTCGTTTGTTCCTTTTGACCTCTGAAACCAGAACTGGTTTTGGTTGAGGATGCTGTTTCTTGTTAAATAGCTTAGAAGCTGCTCCTTAACAATTTTTTCAATAATCTTTGACAGGGTACTCAGTAACGAAATAGGACGATAGTTTGCTGGATTTGTGCCTACGCCTCCCTTAAAAATCGGTATCACCGTTGCTGTTTTTAGGCAAGGGGGAAATATACCTGTATTCATTGACCAGTTGATTGCCAAGGTCAAAACTTCAATCGCCGCGTCTGGCAAATTCTTCAAAATTCTTACAGATATATCGTCAGTGCCGGATGCATTCTGCTTCTTAATATCCTTGCAAATTCTTTTAATTTCATGTTGGTTTGTTAATCTAAATCGAAAGCTTTCTGTGTGTGAGATTGATTGCAGGTAGGAGAGTGGGTCGATATTTGAATTCAAATCTTTAGACAAAGTTGCTGCAACAGATGTGTAAAAGGAGTTGAGTTTTTGAGGGCCTATATCATCTAAAAATTCGGACTTTGTTACCTTACCTCTTAATTCATTTATTATCCTCCAATATTCCCTGCTGTTATTCACTGCATTGTTTATTCTACCTTCATAATAAACATTTTTTTCCACTTTAATGAGGCGTCTATAGATTTTCCGGTACTGATTGAAATAGTTTATAAAAACCTGACGGTAAATTTCCTGATTGTGTGCAGCGATCGCAAATTCTTCGCAGAGATTCTGATACCTTTAGTTAGCCAAACCTTTTTAGTTTTTGTTTTAATTTTGCGCAAAGGAAAAATTTTGTTCAGAATAAGTGTTACCCTTGTCTGAAATGATTTTAGGGGATCCGCTGAATTTAGACATTGATCCCAGTTCGTTTGACTGGCCAAAGATCGAAAAGCATCAAAATTTCGTTTGCTGAATATTCTACGCTGCACCTGACATTTCTTGGGTGCGCCATAGGAAATCATCAATTCCGCAGATACAGCCTCGTGGTCGGAAAGTCCCGAGGGTAATACTTGGCAATTCAATTCATCGTGGTCGAAATTACTACAAATATAATCGATGGTTGTTACAGATTCATTAGTGATTCGAGTTGGTTCGTTAACAAACACTTCAAGATCGAATGAGCAAAGCAAATCAATAAGTGATCTTGTATCATTGGACTCTTGGTCGTTGTAATTTATATTCAAATCGCCCCCCAGAATAATTTTTGCTGACAGTGGGAACTTATTTGAAAGTGACTCGAGACTTTCCAGAAACATTGGCATGCTTCCATAGGGTGGTCTGTATATACACAGTAAAAAAAATGTTTAAGGACTTTATGAATCCTAAAGAGAACTCAAAATGGTTGGGAATTATCAAGTCATCATATTGATCTATGCACTCCGTGACACAATTCGCCAAAAAGGCCTTTTGACCCATAATAACAGTTCCACCGTATCCCTTTTCCCTACAATACTTCGATACAATCGCATACTCCAGAATGTGGCACAACTCTGTTTCTGTTAACCAATGTTCGGTCAGCAATAAAAAGGTAGGCATATTTGAATGCTCAATCAAAATAAACAGTTCATCGGTCTTGTTTCGCAGTGACTGGATGTTTAAGAGGAAGAAAGTAATTTTATGTTGTATTATTTGTGATTTTTTATTTGTAAATTCAGTAGATAATATGTAATTTAATCTAAAAAATTGTTTGAACCTGTGTCATATTTCATAGTATTATTATTAAGAATATGGTCATTAATACGTTGAGCAATTTTACTCTTCCCGGCCTTTTTGAAGACCAAAGATTTATTAAAAATAAAAAACGAAGAACACAAGAAAGAATTAATGTTTATAACTGTGCTGAATTTGCGCAAATTTTCAAATATTAAAATGTTGGTATTATCTATAAATTTGTTTAAAACTAATCTATCTCCCCACAGGGGTACTGACAAAATAATTAAATTTGTACGTAGGTAATCCAAGTTCGATTAAAACTTCAAATGTCGTGGAGTCTATGTGTCCACCACGCACTGCATTCTGTAGTCCCCCAGAGACAACAATGTAGTCAGATTTTGTAAAGTTTCTCGATAGAGCACCAATGTTTTCCAATATGCTTTCTAGTTTCGCATTATGTTTTGCGAGAGTCACGATACTATAGTTTTCGTCTTCATTCAGTTTCAGATATTTATGAAGATCGACCACCGAACTGTCTCCGAGTATCAAAACTTGATGTTGGTTGATAGAAGATGCAGGATTTCGTCTTTTGTGTTTTGGTGTTGAGTCGTTTTCTGGTAATCCACAGTCAGAACCAAACATCTTTATCCTTTTGAGCTCTTCCATATACATATTTCTTTCAACCTCAAGAACTTCTATAGTAGTTTTTTGACTGTCGTTAATTTCTTTCATTGCGTCGAGCTCCTTCATGTGGGTTTTCAGTCTTTCCTTAAAAACCTTGTGCTGCTCCTCCAACGAATCCTTTAAAGCATCAATTTCTGCCTCTTTCATTCCTTGCATTACGTCGCCTGAAATTTCAGTCTGGGATTCCTCATTTTGAAGTTCCGGTTCATGTTTACTTTCTTTCAAGTTGGAATTTAACTCTTCAATTGTGGATTTATATTCCCTGTTCTTTGCCTCTAACTCTTCCAGTCTTTTGCTTGAAATTGTCAGCTCTCCCCGATAGTGTTCAATTCTTTTATGATTCTCACTTAGAGATAGAGCGCATAGATCACAAAAATATCGCACCTTTCGACTAACCAGTTCCAAAAATCTAACTTCGGATGCTCCCCAGTTTTTACAGCTTCTACATGTTACAGCGCGACAAAAGTCACAAACACATCCAAAAATATCAGTGCTATTTTTGGGTGGTTCGCT